GTGAATGCTTTTTATTGTTTTATTTTTACCGTGTTTACCCCAAACTGATAGTGCGTAAACAATAAACGGGTTGAATGATCTGAAACATTTAAAAGAGTAGGAAAAATGTTTCCCTTTCCACAAACCCTCAAGTTTTCATTAAGAATTTTGTGCCACGCCTCAAAATTTTCTCGAGAGGCCTCTGGACCGATGTATAGGTCAAATTGATAGTTATGAACGTTAAATATCTTTAATTGGAGTTGAATGGTTTCTCAGCCTTTCAATGTAACTTATATATAATTATATACCTTATTAAGAACGAACACATAATTATTTCGCTGATATAAAAACATTAATATTTGTAAGACATAATACATACAATTCTTGTTGTAAATCACCACATTAGAAGCGACCTTTCGAAAATTTCATTTTATTCCTTAATTATTTTGTAAAACCCTTTAAAACATTTACAACTAAATAAATTATATATACCAAAAGTTGCGGTAAAGCAAAATAAAAATAATCCTCAACTGCTCACCGTAAGTGCTCAAAAACCTAGATGTTATTTTTTTTCCAGATATATAGGTTGTTCAATAATAATTATTATCGTATAACAATTATTATGCAATAATATAATATAATAATGATTATTGTATAATATAATTGTTTTATAATAATATTTATTATTATAATACTGCTTCGTAAGATTGAAACTCTTTTAATTACATTCAACTCATTCAATCATAAGATTTAATTGATCATGGAAAAAGACAAAACTCGTAAATTGAATTTTATCGATGCTTTGATAAGAGAAGATCATAAAATTGACAGATTCTGGTACACGAAGCATATTTTCTCTGGAAAGTTTAAGTTAAATATTAGGATATGATTTATTAATTTATGGTTTAATTTTTTAAAAACTACATTTCCAAACATCCTGCATCCGTGCAGTCAACTACTTCCAACTTGATTGATAGGGCAGTGAAGTTATCTTTCACTACATTTCAGGCTTCCAACTTAAGTCTATGCAAATTCTTCTAGTTAACAACTATTCTTCACAATATATTCGTAGTTATATGCATTTTCGATTGAGTACATTGACAAACAAGATACAGCCGGCCCACGTAGACAGTAGTGAAACGTTCAAAAATAATATAATATGCTTGCCATTAATACCATTTCTTCATGCGAAATTAAGTTATTAATCAAATTAAGTATAAAGAATTGTAAGTTAAGGGTAGTGAATAGAGAAATAAACACATTCCTGTAGTGTAGAATGTGAAGGGCTCTTTACCCTTAAACCAATTATGTATACAAAATTATCTGAAATGATTGTGGCTAAGCCTGTATACAGGTCAAACTAAAAGAAAATTAAGAACACATATTTATGAACATAGTAAGAACATACTCGTACAATAATCTCCAATAAATCAAACTCTCTCTAAGGGAACATTCAAGATAACAGGGCACGGAATTCCTTTTGACACTACCAAATTTCTTTCTCGTGAAACCGAATATTACTCACGATTAGTTTCGGAAACTCCATATAGAAACATCCAAATGCCTAAATTCACAAATAGAGTTAAACAATTTTCAGAGTAACCGCCTCCTGTTGATGTTTCAACATGATACGTTGATACAAAACCTAAGTTCTACAATGTTTTTACTCTGACTCAACACACATTCATGTGTTTTGTAGTCGTTTTTGTGGCTTCCATCCAGCAGACAACTGATGATGATGGCTAAGCCATCGAAAGCTGCTTTTGCATTAAATAATATTGTTGGCAATGACAACTTCTTTAATTATTTTACATATTCATGTGTTTGTGATTCCTAAAATTATAATTTTTTTAGACATCCTACAGAAAAAGCTGTTACTTTTAGAATATGCGCAGCGTGCTATAAGTTGAACTTTTAGCACAAGTGCTAAAAGTGAGCAACTACTTTGATGTTCAGATAAAACTATGAATGCAATAAAGAACACAATACTTTTTTCTGATCAGCTACAAAGGATGTTAATGTAATATGGTACCCAATTAAGTGATTTGTACATTTTATTAAAAATATAAAAGTCCGTAAGGTTGTCTAAAAATTAGTAGTATCTGAGACACGTGATAAAAGTGGTTTTATCTTGCTCGTTGGATTGCGCTACTCGACCGATCGGCCTTGTCACATTTCCAAGGCGCAAAATGTCACTTTTACCACCCTTATCATAAATAACTATTAAGATGAGACTGACATAGGTACATAAAGTGAATTTTGTTGTACGGTTTTTACTATCTTTACAATCTAATGATGAGAAATTCCCGAAACAACACTTTTAATGTTGTGATCTTCAATAAAAAAATTTATTCTACGTTCAACACACATTAATGGCTTTTTAGGCCAGCGAAATAATTATGTGTTCGTAATAAATAAAAAAGGCAAACATATTTATAATTTTTTATTATTTTTCATTTTTTGCCATTATTAGCAATTTACATTCATTCTAAACTCCGCATTCGTTCAAATGTCCAGTAAACTGCAGCCCGAGAAGTAAACTTGATGGAAGTGATTCCGAAAGAGCGTCAAATAATTCTGCTTTGAATTCAATGTGTAAAATACGTTGTAATGTAATGTAAATAAGACATAAAAGTAAATAAGAAAAAATGTAAAACACATTTAATTATGATATGGCACTTAGCATTGGATACACGAAATGTAATAATAGTAATAATGTAATAATAATGCGATACTAATAATATCTTCATTTATTAAGGGATTTATATGCATTGGCTGTGATGGATTTGAATCCTGAAACTATAGGTTTTTTTCTACACCGAGCTATAAGAACATCTCGTTTCTGATGGGCTTCATCTTTAAGATTTTGTTACTTGCGACTAACGCTATAACAAAGAGATCAATTGACCTAAAATTTTCAATTCAGGTCTACCAATGACTATAAACTCTTTAACTACTTACCCACGAGATCAAGCAGAGACCTCACCATAACGCGTTGGAATCGCTCGGTAGGGAGTTGAATGAGCGAGACTTCCATCCCGAACGACTTACTGCTCCTGTTAACGAAGTAACAAGTTGAAATCATTTAACTATTTCTGTTAGCTGATTTATCAAGAAAATATTAAACTGTTGGTGCTACAGAATGGCAAAGACTTTTTTCGTGTCAGTTAGTTTCCTTATTTTTCAATCAAAGCTATCTTTTTGACTTTGCACCACCTATTCAGCTACCATCTATTGGCGCCTAAAACATATTTTTTCACGTTTTCTAAGGTTTTCTGAAAATAGAAAGCGTATTATAGAAAGATAAAATCTGGTACTCTGTGCATAATTTCATTGGAAAATGCGTAACAGTTTTTGAGCAAATGTCGCTTGAGTTCCTCTGAAAATGCACATTTTGAAGTTCAGTTTCACCCCAAACTTTCAATTTTTTTAGAAAGTTCAAAAGAAATTATTTCAAGTAATTGTACTAACAAAAGCAATATTGATTAAGAAATGTCTAAAATGTAAATATTGACAGCATGGGAAACAAAAAACAACTTTTGTTTAATTTTTGAAAAAACAACAACAAAAGAATACCTCAAAGTGGCATTAATGTCATGTTATTTAGTCTATTTAGCACTATTCGTACAAAAATATTAAAAAATGTCAAAGTTTCGAAGAAAATGGCGTTTGAGTGTTTCTGAAAATGTTGACTTTCGAGCTCATTTTCACAGAAAGCTTGTTTTCGTAAAACTTTATGAGACAATTTGAAACACGCGTACTAACGTGCAATAATGTACGCAAATAGCTGATAATGTAAATATTAGCGGCGTGAGAGAGATTTAAAATATACAATTGTGTAGTTTTGGGAAATAAAAAAGCAAAGAGGCGTTTATGTCATCTGATACATTGCACCTAGATCTATCACTGCAAAAAGTTTGAAGAAAAAATGGAGCCGTTTATTAGAAAATCTTGTTTTTAATAATTTTAATACAACAATTGGTTTTCCAAACGCTATGGAACATTTATATTAGAAAATACGTCAGTAATGTTAAGTATCACTGAAGTATCACTCAATTTTTGTGAAAGATATGCTGAAAGATGTTTACCGAAGATAATAGTTTCATATCAATGTTCAAAAAATAAGGTAAACAACTTAATTTTCAATAAAAAACAAAACAAAACGGAATGGTGCTTATGTTCTAAGATAAAATTCTTTTGCTGTTTTCTTTTGTTAAAGCACATGAAAAACATTTCCACTACAGTAGAAATTGAAGTATAATAGAATACATATTTCGCATAATTGCACAAAACTGCTACGTTTGGTTCGTTGTCAATAGATTTACGCTCAATTGAAGATTTTTTTCAAATATACGTATGTAGATTTGTTATAGACCTTTAATTTTTGGAAGTTTTTTAATGCTGTTTAATTACAAAAGTAAATGTTCTCTTATGGAATTTTTTGATATACGAATTTTTGTGCTACTTGGAATTTTGTGATACGTTTTTTCCTATACAATGCAATTTTCTGAGGCGCCATACGTCGACACTCGTGGAATGAAGTCGTCATCCAAATAATAAATAAACTACTGCAAAATTTCGACCCAACCAAATGAAATTGCTTTCCTTTCAGATCCGTTCATTTCCAATCTATTTATAAAGGTTCAATACTGGTATTATTCATGTGCCATTGAAGAATAATTTCATAATTTTTGAATCTAATTACTCGGTATAACATGCAAAAGTCAGAGTTACTATTGAATGCGTTTTTTCTGGGAGACCAATTACAAAAATCGTTTTCTCAAAAATGCAACACAGTCGCCTACATTTCGCGTTCTATAAAACTTGATAAAGTAGTCAAAACTCATTAATGAAAAATGAATGTTTAAATACCTAGGATATGAATACACTTGGCGGATATCCATAGTTTCACAATGTAAGAGGCATGGGCAGTAATACCCTTCCCCATCCATGTCCCATTCAGGCTTCATGACGCGCCAGCTCATTCCATCCAGATTCTCGCTGAGGCATAAAATCCCTGCCATGTCACACGCTTCCTCCGGCTCTGGAAAAATAAAACCAAACGTCAAATGAAAACATGATGCAAATAAAACGTTTACGCCGTGAACACACAATTTTCAGTTCACTTTCACGACTACTACGTACTTCCGTAACAATGTATTGCTGCAACGAAAACTGGCGATTTTTCGAAAATATAATTGTAGTTTTATTTTAGACATCGTAACCGAAAAAATGTCAATTTCGTGTTGAAGTCAAAAACACGTTTTATTGGTCCTTAATGCCAGAATATTCGTTTATGACAAAACGTTCTTCGGCCCATCTGTCTGACCGACCGTGCATCTGCCTTTCAATACATCCGTCTGTTGTTTATTTGTCTGTCAGTCCGTCTGTCTGGCAATCCATTCATCTGCCTGACCCTCCCGAGGTTCGTCAATCTGTCCGACCGCTTGTGTGTCCGCTCTTCTGTCCGATCCTCCGCCAGTGCTCCAGTCCGCCTGTTTCTCTGCTTGTCTTCTTGCTTGTCAGTTCGTATGTTCGTTTTCTCGTCTGTAAGTCGGTCCGTCCGTTAGTCTGTAAGTAAGTCGGTCGGCCGGTCCGTCAGTTTATTCGTCTGTCTGTCCATTTGTTGGTCGCTCCGTCTGTTTGTCGATCGTTCTGTCAGTCCGTGCGTCTGCCTATGCGTCTGTTCATTAGTATGGTCCTTCTGGCTGTTCTAGAGTCCGTACGTCTCTGGACAATAGTAGTACCTTAGCTGTTCAAAGGTTTTCCCCCAAATATAATATTCCTTATCAATCTATCGAAATAGACTCCTGGAATTTGAAATTAGTACTTTGATTATTTTGTGGACTTAAAAGGAGGGCTCAACGACGTTTTCAAAATTTTATCAACAATATTTATTATGTTTTTTTATAGATTCTCTGTTAAAGAAGTCTTCCCATAACTGTTGTGCAATTACAAAGTTGATCTATTTACAATGAGAAATTTTGAAGGTTAGAGATTTTCAGAGAACTACAAAACTGACTCAAGAATTCTTAATTGGATGTACAAGAAATATTGTGCTTTCTTTTGAAAATGCCAGTAATTTTCAAGTTTTTAGTTTTCGCTTATTTTTTGGGGGGATTGAGAAATAATGCGAGAAAGAATATGCTAATGGAGAGCGAGTACTTTAACATATATAAAAGAACCGGTGTTTTAATGTGAACTGTTACGAGTTATACTCGGCATAAGACATTCTATTAATATTTTTGATCTTGGTAATTGGAAGCTTATGTGGTCTAGTTTTGAAGACATGAGTGAGCCTGTTTATCGACTGGTCTCAGGGCAAAACATTCGTCCCATCTCGCCTATATTAATGCTGCTCGATCGTTTTCCAAGAATTGGTCGGTAGTTCCGAGGAATGACGTTGTGCCTAAAGAATAATTGAAGTGCTACCAAAGTATACGTACAGTGAACCAAGAAAGTCTCCCCGCAGTAGACCCAGGAGCTAGTGAGAGTGTTGGCAATGGAAATTTTGTTGGTAGCACGAATAGAAGCCAGTAGAAAATAAAAACGTTAATTGCGTACTCTCCTCAATTATAACAGATGCTGGAAGTGTTGTCCCCTTTACACGTTTCCAAGTGATCTGGTTGTTAACAACATAAATGCAATTGTTAGTAAGATCCTGAGATTCACACTACTCCGCCTTACATAATTAGATGTTTCGGGTTTGTAGGCCGTGGTCCAACGGAGACTGGACAAGGACTAGTCTCCGTTGTATCACGGCCTACAAACCCGGAAACATCTAATTATGTAGATACCGGCCGTGAAAGTCTACATTGTACGTTAACTACGCCGCCTTACCATTCGTTACAGCATCGTTCCGCTAAATGTGACCAAAAAGGAAATGTTTATATTTTTAATTTCCTCATAAATTCTTCATAAAAACGTGTGAAGTAGAAGTCTTAAACAATTTTTAAGAAAAGAAATGGTTAAAACTTTTTTATTATTTAATGACTTGCTCTTGAAATCCTAAGAATAAAAACTAAAACATAAAAAAACACATTGTTAAGTTTTAAACCAGCTCTTAATCAAATTTACAAACAAATTCGTTTATTTAAGTATGCAGCTATCTGCAATTTTATTTAGTCTCCAACAGGATCGCTAGCATTCCTAACTAACCCAAATATCAGGCTGAGGTGCGCTACTATATAATGCGTATGCTGTGGTACAACTGGCAATTTTTAAATCCCACAGATAACCTGACATTTTAGAAAGTAAACAAAAAATATTATATAATTATTGTACCCTTTAATTTCTAATTGATTGCATTGAACTTACTGACGTGAGGCATCAAGTGTGACGTGCAGTTGCATTCGCGCATGTGGTGCCGCTTGCGACATTCGATGATGCAGCCCTTGAAGCTGTATTTGTCGTACATGTAGAGCGTGTTCTCGTCTGAGAACCGGCACTGGCGCTGCTCTAGAGTCGCTTCCCGAACCGACGGGTCGTTCACAGTCTACGCAAATCAAGAAAGATAAAATGCATATTAATTCACAGTCTACGCAAATCAAGAAAGATTTGTTTTTATGATTAAATTTGGCTCGGGATAGCTGTAAGTAGAAGAAGGGATGATTACGAATTTCTTTGGCTTCAACAATTTTAAATTTAATATACTATATCATTATTGTGACACATTTTATATAATAGCAGATTAATGTGTGTGAGATAGTATGTTCAAGGAAAGTGTGGTCCAACATTTAGTGCTATGAGGGCTAATCAAACTGTAATATAGGAATACGCGGCCCAGTCAGTAAAGAAAGAAAAGAAAAATACAAATAAGGCACTAGGTTAATGTATCGCTTTATTTTACAATCTAGAAATCACTGTGATTGTTGGCACTAATTTGCTGAAACAAGTTTATTAATCACTACTGTAAGTTCAGTAAGACAGTCTCAGGCTTGATTCCAGTGAAATTCTTTCAATGCGATTTCTTATTTTCAATTTATTTTGTTTGAGATGGGACTTTTACAAACACACACACACACACACACACACACACACACACATGTACTGCCAAAGAGCGATAACATTCACAGTAAAAAATAATCAGTTGGAGAAACATTCTTAAGAATTCATTTTCCGGATATTTTCAGGAAATTACATTTTGTAGTCTGCTAAAATAGGTCTGACTGAAAATCAAAAGTCAAATCCATATGAAAGACGCAGGGTACCTGACTCCAGTCGCTATTGGGTTGTTGAACAATGCAAGTTTTGATTTCAGAGAAACAAACTCCTGGAACGGGTGAGGCACCATCTTCTGAATATTGTTATTTAAACTGAAACCAGGCACAAGGGGATACGATTTTTTCCAAATGTTTAACTATTATTTTCTCTCCAGTAAGAAGGGCAAGTGCCAACAAAAAGAATAATAGGGCTGTATCGCACTGGCCTAGAAAATAATAAACACAATGTATTCCATTCTTCTTCTTCTTCTTCTTCTGCTTCTTCTGCTTCTTCTGCTTCTTCTGCTTCTTCTGCTTCTTCTGCTTCTTCTTCTTCTTCTTCTTCTTCTTCTTCTTCTTCTTCTTCTTCTTCTTCTTCTTCTTTATTGCCAGGATGCCTGAGGCCTGTTTCAATCACACCATCTCTTCCTAGGTCTAGCCTACTTCTTTTGCCGTATTGACTTGGAGTCCTTTCTGGTGTCATACGAAGGACAAGCTCTCTCCATTTTTCTTTTTGGTGAATCGCCATTTAGGTTATTGATTGCTTCCCTAGTTTGTTCCTGAATGCTTCATATCGGATTTTGTCTTCTCTGGTGCAGCCTTTAACCGATTTAAGATATTTCATTTCTGAGACTTCTAGATGTTTAAGATTCTTGTTCCTGAGGGTCTAGGAAACCCAATCCAAATAGAACCCATATCCCACTCTAAAAAGTATAGTGGGGACTGCCATGATCTTGTAAAATTTTTATTGTTTCTTTTCGTGTTCTTGTTTTTAGAGTTCTAATTGTGTCGCATACTTGTTGATATATATAATCATTTTCTTAATATCTTGGTCTTCTTGATAAAAAGTCACAGCCTAAATACTGTAAATGAGACACCTGTTCTATTGTTTTGTTACTTACGACTATTTTTGCTCTTATTGGATAAATACCTGTAAAGTCCATTGTTTTTGTTTTTGTTGAAGATATTTTAGGATTATACGTTTGACTTAGTTCGTTGAACCTGTGTAGTGCCATTTGCAATTTATCCTCCCTGTCTTGTATAATTACTTGATCAACAGCGAAAAGCAAGGTGTTAATATGTGTGTGTGGTCCGTTATATCCATGTTCGAATTTGGTCCGGTCCATGTATTCTATTAAGATCATAAAGCAAAACAAAATGAGGTATGGCTCAGGGATAGAGAAATAAAGTGCAGATTGCACGATTAGCTACAAGAATCAAAACATGGCCACATTTACATAATTCCAGTGTTCTATTCTTCTAACATTCTTTTGAATCTTTTTCTTCAGCGCTGAGATTCATCTCAGCATTGTAATGTGATATTGATATTTTCATTACTTTCTTGCAAACACATACGTAGTTGCAGAAAGACTTTTGCAGAAAATGACTTAGTGCACACATTGAAACTCGAATTTTTCAGAAGTAGAGTTTCGGAGTTCCTTATAAAGAAAATGTATTTTTCTAGAACATGACGATTACTTTTGACTGACGTTTGTGAACAAATAAACAGTACATTTGATTTATCTCCCTTTAAGGCCTTGTGATTTTAATGGGAAAGTCTTCAAAAGGTTTGAACATTCTGTATTTAACGAACTTTTTTGTGCTTATTTGCAAATGATTTGATGAGATCCATACTTTCATATGTAACGTCACCAATACTTTTAAAGTAAAAGAAGAGTAGATAAGTATACTCCAATAGTTGCTCTTCTTTTAATTTTGAGGTTAGTGATCGCTTTATTTAATTTCTCGTAACAAGAAGTATTATTTTTCACATCTATCGAAAGCGTTCTACCATCTTGTGACTAGTTCTGTAATTGCATGTAGTTGTAATGTCGCAATACCCTGACAAACAGGCCTAACAGAGGGTACGCAATCTTTCCTTTTTCTTCCTTGTTCTATCCTCACCATTTACTAGCACCCAATTTTACTAGACCAGTCGGGAGGTTAGTGCTTGTTTCGTCTGAGGCGGGGGCGCGCTGGTAGGAAATACCTGTTAGGGGAAATCCCCGCCGGCCGACGTGTAGGTCGGCGCTGGATTTCGTCATCCAGCTGGGGAAGTTCACTGCCTACGATAAAATATGCACTACACTTACGGGAATAATGACCTTAGCAGTTGACGCGCACGGAATCGCTAATACATCAATCAATCAAAATTTGAAGGTGCATAGAAGGACGGTACTTTAATATATTTTGGGAAGGGGAAAGGAAAGTTTACTGCAAATTCATCAATAACATTTTATGCACATTTGCCTTTTTCTAAACTATATCTGTATTCAGTACTTCCACTTTCTGAGCCGACCTGTGTAGCCGAGATCACCGAGGCTGAAGAGCGCTACTAGTGCGGGGGTTCGAAGGCTGTGGCGGTTTCGGATGCCGCCACGGGCTTGGGTGTTTGTGTGTAGTGAATGGCGGCCAGACACCATGCTATCACTTTACAATCCATTTCTTTCCCTTCCTGGATGGCATGGAAGACACAGGAGCTTGTGGCACTTCCGCCCAATTGCGCGTTACATCCGAGTTGTAGGTATGAATCCCGCGTGAGTCATGGATGCTGTGTTGTAGCGCGAGGCCTAATCATCATATGTAACCCTCGAGTACCTACTTTATACCAGTATCGGGCAGATTTGATTGATAGAGGTATTGTGGTGAGTTCTCGTTGGCATTGAATAAGCCGTCCGCTAGAATTCTCCTCCAGACAGCGACTGAATTCGACCTAGGTATATAGGTAGTGTCGAAAACGTGCCACCGTCGGGACTCGGACCTAAGTCTTCCCGGTCAGAGACACTGCAGTGACGAAAAAAACATGCGTTTAACTTACGGGACTAATAGCCTTTGCAGTTGACGTGTCCGAAATCACTAATCAATCAGTTAACCAACCAACCAACGAGCGTAAAACCTACTTAGCACCCACGACCGCATCGACATGTTCTGAGTTCTTACCTGAATTCTGGCCGCTACCATGCAATTGATCAGTTCAGGCGCCCCAACCCAAGCTCTTTTCACGACTGCTTACAGGTTGCTCTTTACTATCAACGTTCACACTCTGCAGGCGAGCAGGGAAGACGGACCATCGACGGACTGTTTTATTCCCGCATTATCATCAGATTAAATTCCAGGAAAAGATGTGCGGGAATTCGATGGCATAACTTCTGTCTCGGCATTTTTTCTTGTCATGCTATAAATCATTCAAGGCCGTCCTAGGCAGTAATACCACGTATCGACTCAGAGCCTCTGTTCAGTGATTAAGAGATATATTATTGGTGTACTGAATTTATACTTCTGTCACAAAAATTAAACAAAATCAATAGGTAAAAGAAAGAAGGATACTGAATACACATTTTAGATTTAAATAGTTTTCCGTTCCAGAGTCTTAGTTTTGGAGAGAATAATGTTCGAGAGTATAATTCACATTATAAAGTGATTTGCTTATTGTAATTTTACGCCCGATTATCCTAAATGGGGGAAGATAATGTGGTAGTTAAAACAAAATAACAATATTTGGAGACCTTTAATTATAAATGTATCATATTTTAATGTCATAAAGTATAATTATTGAAACTAACCATACCTCCGTAATGGATACACCAACAACTTGGGTTTGTTCTTTTTGTGTAATGTCATTGAAGACAGTCTCATCTGCTCCCACGTCAGGTACATCATCAGGGCTGTGCGTGAAGACTTTTGTCGTCTCTTTCATTTCGATTGATAATGTGCCTGGACCAGTAGTCACGTTAGATATCATATTTAGACGTGGGCCCCTGCGAAATATAAATCACAAGTGTGAATATTTTAAAAATATGGTACTAATTTTGAATGAAAGAAAAATGAGAGACCTATACAAGAGAACTTAAAATATGTTATAAAAATGGAACTAAAAAAACAACAAAATACACATATGCAATGTTGGCCAGAAACTGTTTCAGAGACAAAGTGGCTACATATAAATGATAAAGGATTTTACGGTTTTGATCTACAGATTTTATTGTTTTACGGTTATCAACTCAAATCTTCTGGATAATGTAATGAAACTAGTGGTGCTACTACGTTATTTCTGAATTTGCAATTTTCAAAAATTCAGAGTTCAACGAAAATTAGACCTGCGCAATTCTTTTAAGCGTCCCTTGTTTTATCCGTGGGGGAAAATTGAAGAAAAGATTTGGAACATTTTTTTTAAGAATGAATTTTTTTTATAAATCGCATTAATTTCAAGCACGTATTTCGCAAAAATGAGTCGTTTAAAAAAATTGTTCAATGCATCAAAAATCAAAATATCTGTTACTAACTCGCAATATCTCGAGTTCTTTAATTTCTATTAAACTTTCGTTTCAAGATTCTAATGACTACCGTCGAGAATCTTTGAAATTACAGAGGTCCAAAATGCACGAAATATTGAAAACAATTGAAAGCTATGTTAAAATCAAAAAGGATGTTATATGTATGTGTTTTATCGCCTCCTAAGATAGATAAGTCACAGTTTATGATTGGTTAGAAGGGAGAAGCGGAAGGAAAAAGCGGATAGAAAAAGTGACAAACTTTTTGAGATACATCGCCGTAATTGTTTTTTTGTACGTAGAGCTAAACACTATTGGTTTTAATTTCACTAGTGGAATATTCAATGTTAAATAATTTTTGATTCTTTGCGTACGTGGAAATTTTGCGTCTAGAGATGTTTGATACAACATATTTGTCTTGTATCAAACAAAAACAATAAATTTTAAATGATGACTGGAAAGGATTTTAAATTTATCAGAAGTATAGTTAGTAATATTATCTAAAAGATTCTGAATTTATAAAGAAAAAATACATTTTGTAACTTAATTCTCTATTTCTGAATTATTTTATTCGTACAAGCAAAAAGTAGATTCTAGGCTTATACTTACCTAGTGTGTATGCTGTTAATGGTATAACAAATGCCAAATTCAGTATGTAATGGCTGAAAATATTTGCAGCAGTCGAATTCTTCATCTCGCCATGTGCAACGTGTGAATATTTGTGAACAATTTAAACGTCCCTACAACAAGAAAACAATATAACTTTAATTTTAAATGGTACTTAATAATTCTCTTGAGATAACAGAAAATCGCATGTGAAAGCGCTGTACTTCAAATCACTATCGTACTTTGGGAAGAAAGCTGCGGACAGATTGATTTTCAAAGCAGTGAAAATACTCATGCAGACCAGTTTCTATACTAAATTTGAAATATTTTATGCATTTAAAAAAAGGGATATATTTTAGAATTAAGCAAGAACCTTATAATTATGCAAATGGTGAAAATAAATTCTAAACGGAATAAAAGAGGAAATTCTAAACGGAATGTCACAATGCATGCATTTATCTTCATTAGTGCACTGAAGTAAAAGTGTGAAGAGATTTATTAGTATACTCTGTAAGGAGACACAGTGATATTTGGTGCAAGAATATTTGAAACTTGTAAAAGGGTTTAAAAAATTAAGGCAATTAAAATGATAACTGACATTGACACTGTTGTGCGGCTGGATTGATCGACTCTAGTGTTGGAGTTAGGAATTCTGGATACAATGATTTCTGGATACGAGGCCTTCGGGATAACCGAATGATACTTTTCCGCCCTGTACAATACCAGTAAACTATATCTATACTATACCAGTACAGATTACAATAGTATAGGGAAAATAATTGAAATCACTTCAACAATACGATCACGAAGTTTTAATAGAAAAATCCGTGTTTTTAAGATCTCTTTGAGCTGTAACCTTCCAAACTCGTCAGGAGTCTATGAGTGCTATATCAATGATGATTAAAAGAGTGATGCAGGTGGCGTGGAGAAAAAGCGCTAAGTATTCTATTTACACACATGATGTAACTCAGTTCAGGGTTGAGAGTAAAAAGTGTTACAGGGTTGCACGGGTTCCGATAGAATTCTACATTTGCGTGTAGTATTTCCAAAGGAAATGCTATGTGAATGGGTGGTCTAAGGGTGTACTAACATGAGTGATCGTTATAAGATGCGTTTGATAAAGTGTTTTCCCACATTTTTCAATCCATAGAAAAGGAAATTATTACTTTGGCTAACCAATATTAGCGATTGAACAGAGTAGACTAAGTGATTAAGTTTATAAGACAATACTTTTTATGAACAATGACTGGACAAAATGATTAATTCATCACAATTCATCATCATCTATTCACTAGCGATTATACATACTCTGTTTTTAAACACTATGAGTGTGAAAACGCATACTCGTCTATGGTGAATAGCTGTGTGGTATACATGTATTGAAGATCAGTAAAACATGATATACTGTTTTTTAAACAACTTTTGCTACTATAGCACTCACAACACAATTATAGTTTAAACATTAGGAAGATTTTGCTGAGACATCCTCCAAACATCTTTAACTCTCAGAAAAAATTAACAAATTATTGCGATACTTACCATCATTGTTATTTGTCCTATAAGGTCCGAAGTTGTGGGACAATCTAATTTTCTTGTTTTCTTTTGACACAACTGCCTGATAGTTGGTGCCAAACCGTCAAAATATCGCAGTTCAAGGAAAAACATCATTTGTCGCCAAACTCTGGGGTCATCTTTGCTGTAAATATAATAATACAACTGTTTTGCACCTTTGAAATAAGGACTTATCCAATAGTAAAATGCAATTCAACTTGAAAAAAATCGACTGTCCTTAGTTTACAAGTTAACGTCAATTCTTTCTAATAAAGTAATTTAACATACAAATAAACTAGAATTAAATGACATCAAAATTTTGGCAAGTATTTTAAAATCCTCACTGGGCTTTAAAATCGATATTTCCCGTACCAATTCACAGTCATCCCACCTCCTCAGCATTAACCGCTGCCCTCTGAAATTGATGTACTTGGATCAGCTTCCCTTTCCTTAGCACCTCTGAGGTTCTTTACCTTCCTCACATTGCCACCAGTGGCTCACAAGTCCGTAGTTTCTAAACAGAAGGTAACATCCGCACCCAGGGCGGTATTCCAACCCGTGAGCGTTCGAGTCGATTCTGTAAGGCGCGTCAGTCTTCGCAATATCGGCTACCCAGATCAGCAAGACTCTACTCTCTAGTAGACTCTAGGCGATCAACTAGGTTCTATTTTTGGTTTCTCATGTTCTTTCTTACGATGAACACTTCGTTTGAGAAACAAACTAATGGTGCTACAGAATGGCAATGACTTTCCCCGAACTAGTTAGTTTTCTAATTTCTTTGGTCTGGGCTAGCTTTTCGGTCTTGCCCCATCATCTTGACAGCTGCCATCTATCGCCTAACAAAGTATATTTTTTGACATTTAGTCAATTTTTCGGTTTCCTAATGGTAGAACAGTTTCTTTAATACGTACGTATACGAGAAAGGAAAAATATCTGGAATCTTGACTGGTCATGGTAAAATAGGGAAGTTGCATTGAAATACGACAAACGTACATAGTAAATAACGATTTTATGAATGTTGTCTGTGTTCAGAGACCCTGTCATAGTGGAAAGACACTGATACGAGTATTTTCTATATACGTAGTCGAAAAAGTGACCAAAGATTTGAAAGATGGGGTATTTGATACACACAACTTTATAAATGTTTTCTGCGTAACCAAGGTTGTTGGTAATCAAAAGACCGATTTTATAAATATATTATTTGTTGATCAATATTGCTAAAGTTTTGCGGAATATGATTAATATACATGTACAATATCATACAAATGCAATATCGATCTCAACGAGTCATTCTTAATATATCTGCATTGTGGGTTGCTTCTCACTATCATATCTCTGTGAGTCATACTATCAGGAGGTGGTCGAAGTGCGATACATAATCATTTTACTCAACTGTCGGTTTAAAATTTATAATTTTCGAAAGTTTACAGGACCACTTCGAAACATTTCAAATTTTCGAAAGTTCTCATACTACATCAAATTTTTAAACACACTTTACTCTATTCAAGGTGAAAAGTTACCTTGTGAACATTGGGAATCGAACCTCGCACTTTTTACTGGGAAGCAAAAGCTGCAGCCAGTATGTTATAGCCGTAAGGAAAACATAGATTCAAAAATATATTTTAAACGGGTTTTGTCGAACGTAACAACAAAACCATATTTAACTCAAATCATTCCAAAATAATTTTTCGACTTTTACCTGAAATGGTTTAAACAACTAATATACAGGAATATATTGCATTGTATAAGACATATATACCTTAATTATTTAAGGTACATGTAGGAGTAAGAAAAAATCATTTTCGGATGTATCAGGGGCCATAAAACATGTTTTGCTGTAGAAAAACGGCAGTTTTTCTTCCAGCATTATATAACTTTGTATTTTTACATTGTAGATGCAAGACAGTAGAGGGAGCAGGACCCCTCACTCACATTTTACATCTAAAAATAATTATTCTTCTTCTTTCGACAGGGTTTAGATCATGTGACCTGTTCCGAAACCTATTTTTCTTTTCGGTCTACGAATTTCCCTTCTTTCTTCTATCCTATAGTTCATAGCTTTGAATGGAATTTCAATGGTATTCTTGATACATGGTTATACCATTTCAACTTATTTTCAAGAATGTTTTCGAATAATTTTTTGATTTTTAAAACTTCTCTTATTTGTGATTTTAACATTTGATATGTGGAATGACTTTTGTTAGTACAGAAAATCAGCAAAAGTATACTTTTGAATATGTTTCACTACTCAAGTACCGCCCCCTGGGTGAGCCACTGATTAACAATATTGAATTGTTACATGGATAATTAGTAAATTGACCATATACGAGTATTTAATATTTTCCCTTAGAAATCAGTTTAATATTGTTCTTAATTAGCCACTCCGTAGCACCAAAATTAGAAACTCGCTTGTTTAGGTTTACTTCTTAATTGTATATATTGATGTAAATTGAAAACATACATTTGAATTTTAATTGTATGTCGGTGTGCTCGTGTAAGCACATGTCGTGTGATCAAATTGAGTATTTTATTAGATAACGCTTAAATCCATGTATCGTTTACTGCTCAACTATTTTGATTTGATTTTTGAATACGTACCCCAAAGTGCTGGTTATCCAATTCCGGAAATATTCGTTTGTGTCGGCTTTACTGTTCGAGAACTCGCAAACACTAACTGCAATGAAGGGAGTGTTCCAGCGAATGCTTTCTGTCTCCGTATTGAAGCTCACAGCACTGTCACCTGTGAAGTCGTTCCAAGACTCCAAAATCAGGTATACGGATGCCCACCAAGAGAAAATGCAACATATTGACCAAAACAACCTGCAATAAATTAAATATTTATAAATTTAAAAAAAGATACTATTCAAAAGAAACAAATGAATCATTCATTAAGCGCAGACCTGCTTGCATTTTCTTCAAAACATTTTCGTTTTCACATTGGAGTGCAGTGTAAGAGGTAATGCTTCAAAATATTTATCTCGTGATTTTGACGAAAATGCGTTTGATGCATTGTCATAATGGAAAAGTGTTTTTTTTAAAAACGGCTGTACCATCCTTTTATTTGACCGTTTCTGATCAACACTAGTGCTCATGGTGGAAACAGATGGGTGAGCTAGTCCGGTGCACTAATTTTTGCTCATTTTGTGCAGCGCCAGTTTGTGCCACGAACCACGTGGCCAAAACACAGGCAGTTTGTTTGTAAAGCCAGACTACACGCTCGCCACCATGTAGCATGGAGAGCGTGAAATGTTGAGAAACACTTTGAAAGTGGCATTAAGTGACAATTTTCAACGGTGACAAAAAACAACAGAAACAACAACAAACAAACAAGGAAGGTGTAATTGGAATAAAATATTCAATATTTTTTATTTCAATAACTTATAACAAGGTGATAATTTTGGTTTCTGGTTGCATTTCGAATTCCCGCTAATATGCTGTCTATGCATATGCTGTATATGCCGTTTGTTTTGAAGTCGAGCCGCGCGCCACGATAGGTGGCTACGTGAGGCTTGACGGCAGACGTGACGTAAAGACAACGTGGGGATGCGCGATGCGTGACCTGTTGACAGGAAAGCAAGTGCATATTGTTTATATGACGATATCAGCGGAAATAACTATTAATAAATTCTGGAATGTTTACGAGAAGCCCTTTCGTAAATTTCACCTTGCTGGATATTCAGATCGGTCGATTTTTGCTTATTGATGTGGGTAAAGGTGATGGAAGTGCAGTGATATTCAAAAGGAGGTAAGTAATTTAGTCAATTGTGCAGTGTGCCAATGTAAAAGAGATCAAAATGGATAGCAAAGAAAAGGATGAAATAATTAGAAGTGGTGACAGAAAACCAATTTTAAAAGAATTCGACAAGTTAAGACATCAGCAGACTTTCCTTCTTTAAAATAAAAAGTAAAAATGAGAATGGAGAAATAAACACCCAGAAAAAGTTTATTGGACTAATGTGTAGAAGCTGCAGGGCAAGGAAGCACATTTTTGTATATGGGACGTCATAGCAGGACAACGTCTGCCGGGTTCCGCTGGTCATGAATAAAAAGCAATTAAATAAAATATTTTTAACATTTAGTGAGATGAAACTCACGTTTGAAAGTTCTAGTAATAGTTGCAGTAGGTTAATACATTCTACCTACTAACACGCTTTAATTACATCAAAACAATTCCAACAGAGCAAAATGACGTTCGCGTACGTCTTGTTGTTGTTATTATTATTATTATTATTATTAGTGTTATTATAGACTCAGGCATAGGGAACAACGTTAGCAACCACCAAAGTAGGACTATTGACCCAAAATATCAGATACATACATTCATACAATAGTAGTATTATCATTATTTCAGTGTTATTTTTATTCACAATCTCAAGGAAGACTGCCACAAGCAAATTTTGTCCAGAAGGGTATGAAGTTTTCCTTGGAACCATCAATAATCAAAGCATAATGAAAACCGTCAGTTTGAATGGATCAGCAAATAATACGCTTTGCCAACGAAAATTTGGTTGCTGAAGAAACGTGGTACCACTTTCATACTGTGGCGTCGTCGGGTGCGAGTAACACACAGACACGGAGTTGATGATACAGTTTTATTTACAATTTTGATTACACAGTACACCTACTCCTCGGAAACGCGCTACACTCCCAGCACTGTACATCTGAGGCATCCCCGCCCCAGCCTGACGCAGACCCCAGCGGCTTGGCGCCGCTCCTGGCCTTTTGTCCCGTGGCAACCGCCACACCTCGCTGCCGAAGCTCGCGATAACCCCTGGCGGGTGAAATGTGCCTTTCGCACCGCGATTCGGTTCAAACTCGAATGAATGACCACACGGCTGGTTGCTCTCCAGTCGCCTCGCGAGGGGTCACGTGACAGACCTCACATGCCGGCGGCGTCTTCTCATCCCGAAACGTGGGCCTGTTTACAATTTTGGAGTCCAGCTGCACCGCGGCTGGACTCACCCATCAATTCCCTCTGTGCCAGTTGACACCCACGTTCCGAGTCACGCCCACCCGGGCCCTTGAGGAGGGGCCCACCTCTGGTGGCCTTCCGCTTGCCGCCAAAGGACCGCCCCCGCCCCCTCGCTGGCCTTCCGACATGTGTTGTCCATCTGGCCCCTCGGCACGACGTTACAATACCAATAGAAACTGTACAGACCGACAAGAAGTGGTTGGGGGAAGGGATTTCGCCCGGTCACTAATATTGATGAGGCCATGCGCTCCATATATTCGTAACTTGAAGACAAGTCTTATGAATACAACTTCCTTCTTCATTATTTGACGTGAGAATGCAAGGAGATTACCCACCAAATAGACAAACGGTAAAATCATGCCTCATTCACAGTATCCCACCAGGAGACCGAGATGCTGCCAATGACACCTCATTCGTCGACTGGTGCATGGAAAGGGGTCTAACCGTGAGTGACGGCACATACGCACACCCACAGTTACTCAAATACTATGTAGAGACAAAAGCTAAGTTACACAAAAAATGTGAATCAAGAAGCTTTTCTCTCATTCCCAACGAAATGAGTGTTTTGACATGTACAGCATAATTGTTCACATTAGAAAGGTTTACAAGTTAATTTTTCCAGTTCATATGCACCGGTACGATACCTAGGTGTCTGGTCGATGTGGCTAGAGCGTGTGCCGTCTCAGCGCCTTTTCTGAAGGGTCGCAGGTTCGAGTTCGCCGTGGGCATGGTCGTGTGTCACTTGTCTGTTATGTAAGTGTGTTGTCGCGGAAGGTCTTGTGAGTCTGCTAACCACAGTCCAAGGAGACCTCAAGGGTGTCAGTGTATAGTGTAAAGGTTAATCTGTATCCCCATGAGGGGATAAAATGGGTACCCGGCGCGGATAGCGGAAATAGACATCTCCTGAAGCTGGAGAAAGTCCCAGAAAGAAAAACAAAAGCAGCGGTACGGTCGTATTCGGAAAGTGAGAAAATGTGTTAATTGGATTCCACATACAGAGTGAAAATATTGTCGTCTTAATGTCATTTTCTTTTAGATGTTTTTCATATTCCAAGTAACATTTTTTGATAACATTTATTAACATTTATTTACTAGATGGTTAGGCTGGTGTTTAGGCAGTGTAACTCTTAAAGAGCCACATTGTAGGAAACAATTCGTCTTTCGTCAATGACGGAAACATCAGTTAGAAGTAGAAAATATCAGAAAATAATCAAAGAAGGAATAAAAAGTTGAGTAAGTCATTAGTGAAATGAATTTCTAATGGAATGTGACATTATTACCTACAGCATTTAATTTCTCTGGCGAGAGCGAATTTCCTCAGACAAGAGGAAAGAGTGTAACAATGAGATGAAAACGGGTGATTTATTCGGAGAAGTATGGATGAGATAGAATATTTGAATTTTAAAAATATTACTGTATATGTACACTTTTACTATTAGTAATGTGTTGTTGCGTTCAATGATTGTGACTTTGCCAATAATGAGAAAATTGAAAGTTCGAATTTACTTCCCTAACAGGCTTTTTAAATCAAAATTTTTGGTAATTAATATAAATTACTCGGAGCTATTCCTTTTTATTAAGATTTCTCCCAATAAATGATTTTCAACAATAGTTTTACTTCTCAACTTACCGTTCCGACCAATGGCGGCCTGGCTCAGCCAAGTATCGCATGCCATGGATGTTGCAGTTGAGGCAGTAATTCTTGCACAATTGGAATAACCCGCGTAAGACCATGTTGCCGAGAGAGATATAGGGGTAACTCTTTCGAAATTTGCAAGATTTGGATCTTCCGGAGATGTGCGAGGGGGCTTCCGGTTGGCTGAGAGGCGAAAGGTCTGGAAGCGCGGAACTCGGCCGGTCGTGTGGCGAGTGGAACCTCCCTGTCGCGTGAGGGCGCATCCGCTCTTTGGCTCCGTGACCGCTTCTTGTTTGCTCTTGCCCACCGATGCCATCATCGTGAACCGACCAAACACAACGTGTGCGGATCCTATTATCTCATCGTTCGACCGGTGCTCAGCGAGAAAAAAAAACTTTTTTTTTACTGCTTTGAAAAAGGTTTAGTTTGGACGCGAGGGATTACTTTGGCCAAGCGAAATTATGTGTGGATCATACGTGCTACAAGCTGATTGCTTTAGGATCCAACTGGCGATTCCACAAGGCACCGCAAGAAAGCCAACTTCCAGAATAGTAGTTTCGGACAACGTACCCTGATTTGTTATAAAAACTACATAAAATGTAATTGATACGCAAAACCTAACATATCGAACTGATTTTTCTGAAATTGAAGATGATTTTTAACAATATTTTGTAACAAACTAGAAAAGTTTCACATTGTTCATCACTTCTTTTTGTTTGACACCATCGTAACACTACAAAGAGCGAGTGTGCATGATGAAGTGTAAAGATCGTTGATTACTGCGTGTTTGGGAGCAGTAGGAAACTATGTAAACAAATTATCATTGCCTTTTACAGTAGACGTGCATCGACAACATTAGGGAAATAGCTATTTTAAATATTTTACATAAAAGTAATAGCATCTTATCAAAAGTGTTTGCTGTTTCTATAATTTTGTGAATGAAATTTTCTTAAGATTCTTGTTTTTAATAAAAAGTATGTTTAAAATGTTAATTTAGTGCATTTTGTAGAAATTCGGGTAATTATCAAACAATTAAATGATTTAGACAGGTTTATTTCAAATGTTAACAACTCATCGAATAAAGAACAAAGTTACAACAAGAATAAATTATAAAAAATAGTTATGTTTTTATTCGAACGTAACGTGAAAACGATTAAAATCTCTAGTTCAGTGAAGTGACTTGTCATCAATTTAGCATTAAGTAAACAGGCCTATAGTCAGTTTAAATTTATTATATCTCATATTCTGTGAAAAGTGCTGGATTTAAATTAGCGGTAGCGCTATTACATCTCTGCGCTCAAAAGAGTTCCAAACGGTAACATTCAATTTGTATTCTTTTATTATGATGAGTATAGCAGGGATGATTGGCCCAAAGAGCAGGTTGTCACTCAGCTTCCTACTTCGACTGCGTAGATTCCATGAGCCCCAGCTTTGTGTCTCGTGGCAGTCACCACCTAAAGAAAATCCCAAAGAATTGTCAGTGTGATGAGCGCAAGGGTTGTGGAACTGTGATCTCAAATGTACGAGTATTTTAGAGCTTAGGCCAAAATAGTTGCGTAATTTCTTTAGTTTCTTCTATGAAATTGAAAAGAGAAGGTTCTACTTTTCCTTTTTAGCTGAAATCTTCATCCAAGCTACTGATTTTCATGTATCAGTTTCTTAGTTTTAAATTACCTTGTTATCTCTCCATCCATCATTAATAAAAAATCCCGTTTCATATGAGGTTAATCGGCGAAGTGGCAACATCGTCTGTCTATCTGCCAACCATGTCATCAAAATAAATATAATTTTCTGTTTTTTTCTGACATCAACGCTAAAAGTACCAGTAGTGGCCCAACTTAACAACATTTTCGCAGCCTTATCAACATTTTTAAGATACAGTACTAACTGAGTTATGTAAAACTCAATAGGCAATTACCAGTTTAGGAGGCTCAGGGCATCAATCAGGGCGTCACTGCAGTGTCTCTGACCGCTAGGTGTGAAAATTCGACGGTGGCGGGATTATCGACACTATACTGCTAGATAGATCCAATTCAGACTTCTGGGGAGAGTTCTAGTGGCCGGCTGCTCTGATCGGTAGTTTTCTGTGGTTTCTCCGATCAGCAGTAGGCGAATACCGGAGCAGTACCCTCACAGACCATGTGTGATCTTTTTCTTCCTTGTCATATCTTCACCCCTAACTTACACTTAGTATATACACTACACTGCCACACATGTCGGGAGAACAGCCGAGCGGTTAGAGCTTGTCCGGTGTGAGGCGGTACCCCGCTGGTGGGAGAAACTTCATTGAAGCGACCTCGTTAGCCGACGATAGGGCGGCGCCGGATCTTGTCCTCCAGCAGGTCACCACCACCCCCGCGATAAAACATGTATTACACTTACGGGAAAATGACTTCGTCGTGGGAGGAGTTTAAATATGCTAAAACAAGAAGAATATAATAACATTTTAATTGATTATATTTATAATTCATACAAAATTGCTTGGTGAAGCATCACAACATGTGACTGTAAACGTGACTAACATAATTGAAAATGCCAAATTTTAAAACGAAATCAATTTTAAATTATTTCAATATTTTTGCTATTTCATGGATTTAAAAAAGACAATAAATAACTTCCGATTTCGAAATTACACATCTTTAATCATGATCACGAATTCTTCCAGAAACCTCTTTTATTTACTCACTCAATGGAATTTAATCATATTTGCGAAAAAGTCTGTTTTATACAGATTCAGAACATTTGCAGAAGTCTGTATTGTTTTTCCGGCTACTTTGAAGAAACTATGATGACTAGCTACATCAGGCATCATCATTTATATTGTAAGTTAAAAGTTCACAGCGCTTTCTCTAAATTTTCGTTCTACAAGGCGGATATGTCAGAGAAATTACATTATTTATCTTTTTACGTGTAATCCTGATTACCAGAAGACTTTTTCTGCAAAGACCACGTTCTGCAAGTGGGAAGCCCGCAATGTTTTTCCTTCACGTGACCACAACTGACGCAGTGGCCACTACTGCTGACCTACTTTCTATCACATTTACAAAGACAAATTTCGTGTCACTTTTTATATTTTTCAAAATTAGAAACATGTCCGTTCAAAACGTACTAACCTTTTCATGGTATATCAGTGCCGTGCTATGAGCCCGTGTTTCGGCCCACTGTATGTCATAGCAGTGACCTCACATGTGGAGAGAAGAGTGGGCGCCACATATGAGGTCTACTACACGTTTCGTGTTTTAATCGCAATATGGTTCGTCGGGGCAGAGGCACAGCGTAAAACCCGTCTAAGGGAAATCCTTCTCCTACTGGGTTTCTGAAACGATAGGGTCGACTTGTTCTTAGGGGACATGAAAACGACGTTTGGTTGACAAGAGGTGATGTTTAATTTTCTAAAGATTTATTATTCACTTTTTATAAGATTTATTATTCTTTCTTTTTAGCATAAACCTACGAATTTGCCTTGCTTACCTATTGCAAGTTTAGGTCCTATTTAGCGTGAAAAGTTCCAAAAAAGACATTTTTTATTAAAAAGCACTAAAATACTGATACCTCTTGAAAAAGACTGTTAAACGGTAATAAACTATTTTGCATTTGAAAATCATCCCCAAAACGCTAGTTGGTGTCTTGACTTGATGCCTTAAAGCTAATTAAAAAGTTCGACAGTGAAACATTAAAAAAAATAAAAGTACGTCAAGCCTAATAAGTATCGTTTCTATTCATATAATCAAACTTCTAATTCCGGAGTTGCTTTAAAAAAATTAAGAACTATCAACTGGTGCCACCAGCCCAAATCCCTCTACTTTAAAACTGTTACGCATACTCATAAAAATGTTTCTAAATAATAGGTGAATCAAAGAGATACATTGAAAAATGGAGTAGAAAAACCCTTAATAATTACAAACCAATGAAGATTATTTACGACAGTAAACACCATGCAAGATACACATAATTGCTTGTTTTACCAGGTGGATGTCTCCCCAGGGTAAACACATGTCCCTATTCGGCTTTATACATACCGCAAGCCACAGACTAGTATCTGTAACGCAGTTTATCCTTTCGGTTGCCTTCCCATACAATGCCTGGGTTGGGCCGCCCTGCAAGCTCAGAGCTACTAGCTTTCCAGGCCAGTGACGGAGTCGAATCAATGCGCCGGGACAAGCCCCTTTATTTTCAGAGTGTCGTGCCACAGCCACGACGAAGCCAAGTGCCAAACTGCCACCTCCCCAAGGCCGATGCCCAAGGGGCAAGGTCCCCAACACGTTGCCTCACTGCCTCCACTTTGAAGCTATCGACGTGAGTTTCGACGGAACCTACACAACCCTGACAGGGAGGTTCATGATCCCCCTCTGGACGACGAGACGCAGGTTTTTAGATCCGCCGCGTTGCAGCACGGAGGGTGCCGGCTAACGAACTACGCGCCCAAAGGTCAGTGGCAAGCCACATACTCACTGCCTCCCCCTTGAAGCTATCGACGTGAGTGCCGCCATGAAAGACGTGGTTCAAGTGGCCTTTTACAATCCTCCACCAAGAACCGCGTCCTTCGCGGTCAGTGGTTCCTCCTGCGAGGGGTGATTAACGACAGACCCTAGAGTGTTTTCCTCTTTATCTAAGGTGATGTAACGCTAATGCACGCTAAAGCAATTTCATTCCGTTGCTGAAATTTTTGAATTTGCGCCACTGCCTACCGCTTTAATTCAATACAAGACGGACAGAGGGTAGTGCAATAACAGTCGTCGCAAATTTCACACATCAACGGAGACAGCCAATCATAGAAAATCGAGCCCTTTCAAGCGCATCTCGCTTGAACAAGCTATATTGGACTATTTTGTCACTGGACGTCTAGAGAAAAAGAGAAGCGGAAAGTGGTTGTTATAGAAACAATTACAAGACGCTCGAAATAAGGTAAATGGAATTTCCTAAATCTACCGTTTGTTATTATAATCTAAATTTTTATAATAACAAAATTAGAATTTGAATTTCAACAAGTGTGTACAGTTGAAGTACAGTAGTTATCAGTTATGCGACGTAAAGAACAGGGCTTTTGAACTCAACAAAACCGGGGACAAAGCTGGAAGGTGCTACTTAAGGAGGAGCTAGACTCGCCGGGTGCAGCTGCAGTTTAGTCTCACCAACTTTCGCACATAGAAATTAGCTAATCTGTGAGAAATACTAAAAGTGTCTTCTAAATGTTCAATTATTCATAATATATTCTAACATACCCACCTACACCCCCACACAACTTACCACCTTCACAGTGGCACGCATGAAACCGTAAGCAGGTTGTCAAGATTTTGCTCGTGAAGCGAGCTTTAAAAA